CTTATCATGATGTGAGAATCACATTGGAATAAAATTCTGCGTAGATCCTTTGAGTTCCGGGAGGGAGGGGAGTTCAAATACCAATATTAACTTTTATAATAGACATAATCAGGGGTCGGCTTCAAAAAGTTTAGCAAGGGGTTCTCTGCCTGGTTGCTGGGTGGCCATGGCCCTGGTGGGTATGGGCTAGTAGGCTCCTACACCATGGCGTGGAGAGAACATTTTTGTCTCCCCTGGCTCTGGAGGCTTTGTTTGAGCCTACGGGAGGGCAAAAACGGCTTCCCCAGGCTCCAGAGGCCCTCTGGAGGCTGGAAATGGGCCCGTTTCCGCCCTTTCTGAATTTCCAGTAGGCCCATTTTTCGCCCTCCCTGACCCTCTGTGCGCGTTCTCCACTTACCTGCATCCAAAACGGGCTGTGTGGGGACTCCAGGGAGGGGCGAGGTGGGCAGGGCCAGCCAGGAGTGGGATTTGGGCGTTTTCTGAACTGCACAGAATCTTAGCTAGAGGTTCTCCTGAACCCCTGCAACCCCCCAGCAGCTCACCCCTGGATATAATTATTATCATATGGAAACAAGAGCTCTGGTCTTGCAGACTTCTACCTTGCAGTATTTTGTGTACACACACGCATACAAACAGGCAGGTGCACACACACACACACACACACACACACAGGAATTATTTGCTTTTTCATTCTGTGTGCGAGTTCTAAAGAGGTTCAGCTGGCCTTTTGTTTCTTTTGTTTTGTTTGATGATTGACTCCTCCTGCTCTCACAAACTCATGATGGCTGCCAGGTTCCAAAAACCAAGAAAGACATGTTGAGACACTCTAAGCAATTTCCTTTATTCTTTCTCACCTGTCAAACTAAAGCAGGCTGTTTGCACCATGAAAACGTAGTATCCTCTGGAAACTATTAGGGATGACTGTGCTGTCTCTTGTTATTCTGGAACGTGCTCCTGGGAATCCAGACCACATTCCATCACGGTGGCATATTGTGTGTAGTTTTTTTTCTAAGTTTACAAGAACCGCTTTGTGAACTAGCCAGTGCCTGAAGCACATTCATCCATTGACTTTCCATGGGGGGGGGGGGAAGTAAATTTGAATCTGGGCCTCCCCAGTCCTAGCCCTCTATACCATGCTGGTTTAATATTGCCTGCTTAAGTTAAAATACTTTGGTCTAATGATTAAAGTATTGTGTAAAGCAGTAGTTCTCAAACTTTTCTTCACCCCAAACTCCCTTTAAATATTATCATGGCCCATGACCCCAATACCTAACACGAGATTTAAAACATAACATTTTTTATAAAGTTTTTAATTAGATAAACATTAAAAACATGGGACATAGTGCGACATTTCTGGCATAAACATTTCCATATAGTAATTGGATCTTATAACAATTACATAATATATCCATTACATAGGTGTATGTAGTCAGTCAGATTACCTGTCTAGTGATCATTTCTTTTATATAATTACTAATCATACAAATATATATCCAATTTCTACATATCACACATTCTTAATACCGTATTTTTTAACTGTATTCTTAACTTGTCTTGTGTTTTTCTGTCCTGGCCTTTTCCCCTCATTTCTCACCATTGTACTATTTGTCCCAGATTTCGTGATATTCCATCTCATCCTTGACTTTGAGCTCTAGAGTCAGTCTGTCCATCTCTGTGCATGACAGTATCTTATTTATTATTTCTTATTCTGCGGGAGTCTCTTTATTTTTCCATTTCTGTGCAAAAAACAGTCTTGCTGCCGTTAAAATATGCAGCATTAAATATAGTCCACCTTTGCCATGTTTTTCTTTTGTGATCCCTAGTAGAAATAATCCTGGCCTCAACTCCATCCTTTGATTTAGCATCTCTTCCAAATACTTTCATATCTGGTGCCCAAAAGCCCTAGCTTTCATGCACTCCCACCACATATGCTAGAAGGTCCCTAGTGCAGCATTACATTTCCAACATCGTGGTGATAAAGTTTTGTTAATTTTAGCTAATCTTGTGGGTGGGATGTGTCACTTGTAGAACATCTTGTATAAGTTTTCTTTATACGAGATGGCTAAAGTTAACTTTCTGTTTCTTTCCCATAAGTCTTGCCAATTGTCCAAATCCATGCTGTAACCAAAGTTCCTACTCCATGCTAACATGGTTTCCTTTACCTGCTCTTCCGACATTGTATATAATCCAATACATATTGGATTTGCATTCCCCTCCGTGACAATATTGTGCCCCCCCACCCCAGGGGTCCATAGATCACAGGTTGAGAATCATTGGTGTGAAATGGTTACACAAAAGGGAAATCCGTGCTCTGATTTGTTCTGAATGTTGAAGAAGATTCTTGGTTATGCATCTAAAGTTTCAATGATTCAAATGCCAAGCATTTGTCCTGAATGTTGATCAATATATCATGATCATATTTATCAATATAATGTTATTCAGGTGCTTCAAATTACAACTGCTATCAATTCCAGCCAACATAATCAGTCAGACTGATGGGAACTCTAGTCCCAAATAATTGTAGGGCCCATGTCTGAAGAAGGCATATTATAGAATAAGATTTAATTAAATAGAAAATAATAGAATAGAATAGAGTAGAATAGAATAGAATAAAATAGAATAGAATAGAATAGAATTCTTTATTGGCCAAGTGTGATTGGACACACAAGGAATTTTATCTTTGGTCCGTGTGCTCTCAGTGCACATGAAAAGACAATATACATTCATCAAGAATCATAAGGTACGATAAGCAAGTTTTACCAGTTTTTGTTATCCTAGACTAAATATGTGGATCTGGTCAGAGCTGACTTGGTCTTTGGGTGGCATGCCAAGAGGCCAAGACATGCCAAGTTTCAATCTTATTTAGCTCTAATTAATTGTCTATATTTTATAGGATGATTCAGACCATTGTACATAACATTAGTAGAGAGGGAGCAGAGAGGAAATGGTACAGCACAGCCACATTAATTGGATTTTTAAGATCCTTAAATTATTTATCTTGGGTTCTGCAACCTCTTTTGTTATTCCCCACTTTTATTACTACAATTGATCATGTTTTATAAAGTGAGCATACATAATTAATATTTCAATCAATCAATTCAAGAGCATCCACACTTTTCTTTTTGCATATAGACATTTCCAAAGCTATCCTGTTAATTATTGATATGCAAATTGGTTTTGTCCCAGCATATCTGAGAGTCTGAACTTCTCTGTCTCTAATTATGATACATTTTGAGTCATTTGATGGAAGTTGACCTGTTGGTCTGTCCTGTCTCCCTAGTGAGATCCCTTGAGATCAGGGGTGGGTTCCAGATCCCGTTGCAACTGGTATGGTGCAACGGGGCCGCGCGTCCACCACATGCACATGCGCAGCATGCACATGTGTACTTACTGCCCGCAGCAGCTCCGTGACACTCCAGCTGCTCGGCGGAGCTTTGCGCAGGCGCTGTATGCTCCGTACACGTGCATAAAAGCCCTGATTGGCTCAAATACAGGTAAGGAGTGCAGATGGGCTCTCCGGAGCACCGTACTCCAACGGTACCTGGTGTTCCAAGCAGGCACCGGTACGCCCATACCGGGGCGTACTGGTTGTATGCCACCACTGCTTGAGATCCTCTTTGTAAGAAGGGAACCCACAGCCCAGGGGTGGGTTGCTGCCGACGTTACTGCCAGTTTGGTGTGCAAATTTTTTTTGCCCCCCACGTGTACACATTTGCACCTAAAAAAGGTCTGCGCATGCGCACAATGTTAGAAAAGGGAAAAAAATACATTTTTGAATACAACGAATACAATTAAAATTGTTCTGCACATGCAGAGAACCGAAAATCAAGATGGCGCCACCAGTTAGGGGATGTGGCAGGCTGAGTTACTACCTACTTGGCTGAACCAGTCCGAACCGGTAGGAACCGACTTCTGCCACAGCCTGTTACAATTTCCCAGTGTCTAACTTCCTCTACGCCCAGAGCTATTTGCTAGCAACCATGTTCTCCATTGGCTAGCTAGAATAAGGCTAAATGTTAGAAAAACGGTGCCTGTCCTGAGAGAGGTCCCAGTTCTACAGTTTTGCCTCTTATCTGTAGGTTTTTTTAATTATGATTTTTGTTTATTTTCTGTGCAGTGCACTAAAATTGTAGTGCTTCAAGACTTAGTTCCTTTATAAGACGTTTTCACAAGTGAATTTACTTTACTATCCCACTTAATTGATCCGTAGGATGATTCTCCATATAGAAATTGTTGATAGGTTTTGAAAGGGAAATGGCACCTAAAAAGCATGACTGGTTGGGGTTCAAGGTCAGATTTCCTTGTATTTTACTTTAATTAAAATTAATGAAGTAACTCATACATTGACATGGAATTTGGCTGAGGAAGAAAAGCAATATATCTACCAAATAATAAGATTTAACATCATCATAACGATTGACTTATTGATTGATCGATTTGCTAGCTACAGAAGCTTTGCCCTGCAGAGGCCATGAATGATAAGGGAATACAATAGTATAGTATAGTATAGTATAGTATAGTATAGTATAGTATAGTATAGTATAGAATAGAATAGAATAGAATAGAATAGAATAGAATAACAGAGTTGGAAGGGACCTTGGAGGTCTTCTAGTCCAACCCCCTCTTTAGGCAGGAAATCCTACACCACTTCAAACAAATGGTTATCCAACGTCTTCTTTAAAACTTCTAGCCTTGGAGCATTCACAAGTTCTGGAGGCAAGTTGTTCCACTGATTAATTGTTCTAACTGTCAGGGAGTTTCTCCTTAGTTCTAGGTTGCTTCCCTCCTTGATTAGTTTCCACCCATTGCTTCTTGTCCTGCTCGCAGGTGCTTTGGAGAATAGCTTGACTCCTTCTTCTTTGTGGCAGCCTCTGAGATAGGTTCTTTGTAAAGCATAGATTAAGTAAATGTGTTTTAGCTGGTCAAATTTGCTCTGATGAAAAAGTGGTGAGAAGGAATTGGCAGGTTGATACTGATCTGCTTTTATTTTTGGTTCTCAGCGTCTTCTTGGCAGGATGAATTCAGAAAGAGACTCTGAAACGACCTTTGATGAAGACACTCAGCCCAATGATGAGGAGGTTCCCTATAGCGATGATGAGACAGAAGATGACTTGGAAACTCAACCTGAGGTTGAGCCAGAACAAAACCGTTTTAACATAGAGGTGGAAGCAACTCGAGAGACACTTCGAAAAGGTGAGAATTATTACCTAAGGCTAGTGATTATTTTGAAGAATTATTTTTTTCTTTAGAGAAGAACAGAATAACAGAGTTGGAAGGGACCTTGGAGGTCTTCTAGTACTAGCCCTCCTATTTAGGTAGGAAACCTGCTACCATTTCAGACAAATGATTGTTCTATCTCTTCTTAAAAATGCCCAGTGTTGGAGCATTCACAACCTCTGGAGGCAATTGTTCCACTGATTAATGTTCTAACTGCTTCTCTCCTTGGTTAGTTCCCATCCATTGCTTCTTTTTCCTGCCTTCAGGACATTTGGAGAATAGCTTGTCTCCCACTTCTTTGTGGCAACCCCTTAGATATTGAAGCGTATAGGGCAATTATTTAAGTAGATCAATTAGTTGCCCAGTAACAAACTTAATAGGTGATCTAATTTAGATCTTGTTAGATTCCTGGGACCTTTAACTTTTCCATGCCTATTTTGATGAACACATAAAAACTTCCATCGTCATAAATCAATGATTAATTCAGAACATTTGCAACAGAGAAGAAATAATCAAGGAGATTTTTCTCCCATCAAAATTCAGTACATTAATTGAGATATATTTTGGGAACATTATTCATGAACAAGTAGTAACAAATACTTATGTGGATGAGGATTAAGGCTCAGAAAAACAATGGTTAGATTGTATCAGCTTTTCAATTGGATTTAGTAACTGCATAGCAAGTAGATGCATCATTACAATAACTTTTCAGCAAGCTTTTCAGTAAAAAAGACAAAACAAATGGATGACATACCTGTGGTTCTTTTTAGTAAGGTGTCCTTTCCCCTCCCTCCAGGTAAAATTAATTTTACCATTCAACAGTTATCCTGTTCTCCCACCTTTAGCATTTCTCTGTCAATATTACATATTTTGTACTGCAAATTTTACACATCAGTACTGCTAGTTTTGATTGATTAAAGCAAAATTGAACAGCATCTAGATATTTCTGAATGTATGCAAAGTCAAGGATATAATGCAAATCTTTTGCCTTTTGAGCTTTGCAAATGGTGCAGCTGCTTTGATATTTTTTTTTAAAAAAAGAGGGTGTGTGGTACACACTCCCACTTAATACGTATTGTGGGAAGAAATATCCATCTGGTTCAGTTCCAAGCTGGGAGAAAGGAAATGGAAACTTGGAGGCTGATTGGAAAGATGGTTTATTGATAGCAAAATGGAGTTGAGAATGGGTTTTTTAAAAATACCTTCTCTTGGGCTTTGCACTTGAGTTTCCTGTTCCTGTGCAAGAACATGTATTCTATTGGTTGTTGTCAGATTCCTATGGGGTCATGTAGAGGTCATAGCTGACTCTATAGGCAAAGGGGAAATGGAAATCCTAGGAGATTGTCTGAGCTAATCTGGTTTATTGTTTATCCAAGCTCCCAGGTGAAGTTTGGACTTTGGACTGCCCTGAGATGGTGCAATGAAGGGGCTTGTGTTCTGAAAGGATGTTAGGCAGTTCCACTTGTGGCTTAATGGTTTCTTCTTCAAGATCCTTCTTTTGGATCTTGAGTGAGGGGGCTGCTTCTAATCCCACCATTCTGCCTTTGTTCAGACTTTGCTGCAGGGATTTTCAAAATATCCTGTCTTGAATGGATTTCTGCCTGCAGTATTTGCTTTGCCTATGAATAGAGCCATCTGGTTACTTGTCTTCCTCTTTCAATAAACTCTTTATCTCTTAAGTGCTGACATATGCTGTGGGCTTTTAAGGAAAGTGGGGGCTGCTTTCTGCCTCTAAAAAAACATGTTTCTCCATCTCTCCCTTTGAGGAAATATAATATTCTGCCTGTTTAATATTTCCCAAAATATTTCATTCTTCTAGGAGGGGTAGGCGCCAACTTTCTATAATATATAGAAGGAAAACCCGTCCTCTACTTGCAAGTATTTACAAATTAAATATTTTGCTGTGTTTTCAGATTGCAGCTGGCAAGTTAAAGCAAATGACAGAGCTTTCTATGAGCAACCCCAATTTAAGAAAACAATATTCCTTTGTATTCAGAAAAGTAAATACGCGGTAAGTAAACATCTCTGTACGTAACAGTTTCCAATAGTTCTTAAGCCTCTCATCTGAAGAGAAAATCTTAATTGATTAATTGTTTTGTACAGTCACGGATTCATTAGTCCAGACTTTGCAAAAGGTACACTTTCCAGATGTATTTGAGTGCAGTTCTTACTATAGTGTATTTAGCCAGCATGTTCTAAGGAGAACAAAGAGAGGAACTGGATGCCCTAATGTTCATTTTAATATAATACACATGCATTGCAGCTGGCATTTAACATAGTTGAAGAGCCTAGTGGTTGCTGCATTGGAGTTTCCATCAATCCTAAGAATGCTCTGGTTGTATTCATTGTCAAATAAGACTTCATCTAAAAAGATATTTACCCTTTGCAGTTTTAATTAATTATTTTCTAAATGCCATTAACCCTTTTTTTGTGCCAGAGAATTCAATTTGCATTTCAGTGGCCTTTTGGAAGCCACTCTTTCAAAAATGGTGGTTAGAGCTAAATTGGAGGTGATTTCCTTGTATCTTAGTTTAATTAAAATTAATGGAATAACTCATACGTTGACATGGAATTTAGCTGAGGAAGAAAAGCAATATACGTATCTACTAAATAATAAGATTTAACATCATGGTAAAAACAAGGCTCATTTATTTGAGAAAAAAAAATAGACTCCTATTTAAAAATAATTACTCAGGGATCTGGAAAAATATACGGGTTGTTTTTTTTTAAGGTGGAGAAAGTTAAAATTGTCTTGATTAAGAAGAATTCTTCCAAGGTTTAATTTTCTGTTCCAAAGGCTTTAATTAAAAATGGAAAACAAGGTATTAAATGAATGTCAGACACAACTAATTTGATGTGGTCAAATAAAAGACCTTTCGAATCCCTACTGCCATGTAACGGAGTGAGCTCCCGTTACTTGTCCCAGCTTCTGCCAACCTAGCAGTTTGAGAAATGCAAGTAGAAAAATAGGAACCACCTTTGTTGGGAAGGTAACAGTGTTCTGTGCGCCTTCGGCATTTAGTTATGCCAGCCACCTGATCACGGAGACGTCTTCAGACAGCAGTGGCTCTTTGGCTTTGAAATGGAGTTGAGCACCATTCCTTAGAGTCGGGAACAACTAGCACATATGTGTGAGGGGAACATTTAACTTTACCTAATAAAAGACCCAAGGTTAAATTCAAGAAATAAACGAACATTCAAGGACATTCACAGGATTAAACAGTCTGGCAGGTAGACCTTCATTCACAATCATTTGTTCAGCTACCATTGAAACTTACGGCAGTGCTAAATGAATTATTCTTACACCAGTCAACAGAATTACAGCTGTTGCAGCCCCTTTTGGTCACACAATCAAAATTCATGTACTTGATAGCCTACTCACACTTATGATGAAAAAGATGCTCCAATTGTCCCCATTTGCCTATTACTTTGTTGTTTTGGTTGCTCTACACCAGGGGTGTCAAACTTGCAACATCACGGCGTCATAATGTGACATATAGGTACTTCCCCACCCCCCTTTGTTAAACCGGGCGTGGGTGTGGCCAGCATGTGACGCATCCGGCCAGCAGGCTGCAAGTTTGACAGTCCTGCTCTACGCCAGGGGGCTTGAATCTTGTGGCTTGTCTCGGCCCACTGAATGAGGAGCTGTATGTAAAAAATATAATATTTGATATGCCTGCTCTACATAGTGATCGATCGATCA